TTTCAAAGTAGCACCCTGCACTGGAGGCGTGGCTTAGTAAGGGGGCCGTGGCTTCCAGCTAGACTGATGCTAATAGATGAGCTCCTCAAGAACCTCGTTGTCATAGTTACCACTTTATTACTATACGTAATCAGCAATGTTAATGTTATTAAAATTATATTAGAATATGTAATATGCATAGATATTCACGGATGAACGGGAGACCCATGGGGCGGCGCACAATTGGCCCAGCGTCGTCCAGGGTAGGGGAGGGAATGGCCGGCAGGGATGTAGCTCAGTTGGTAGAGCATGGCGTTTGCAACGCCAGGGTTGTGGGTTCGATTCCCACGGAGGGCCAGTATGAAAAAATTATAATGTATGCACTCACTAACTGTAAGTCGCTCTGGATAAGAGCGTCTGCTAAATGACAAAAAAATTAAAAATAAAATAATAATGAAACACTGCAGTGCACAAACTTAGCGTGATGAACAAGAACGACATTTACACTAACAGGTGGCCAACAGGTGTTGTGGGTTAATTGAGAATTTTTTAATTTGCTAGAGAAAAACTGTAACCCTTTGCACCTGCAACCCTTTGCACAGCACCTGCAACCCTTTGCACAGCACCACCACCTCTCTCTAGAACCTCTTTATGTTATGTTGCATTGTGCTGGCTCGCCTGGCTAAAAGCTTGAATACTGTTTTGTTCCAAAGATTAAAGAAAGAAGCATGTTATGCCATCTCTGATCACGAGGAATTAGGTTCAAACTCTGTCTACTGTGGCTCAGTTGGTAGAGCATGGAGCGCTTGCAACGCCAGGGTTGTGGGTTCGATTCCCACGGGGGGGCCAGTATGAATAATGTATGCACTCACTAACTGTAAGTCGCTCTGGATAAGAGTCATCTGCTAAATGACTAAAACGTATAATAATCATAATAATGTTAATAATAATGTAATAGCCCCATCTAGTGGTAAGATCCCGCTATTGCAGTGACAATTATGATCAAGTCTCCAATTTCCAATGATCTGCTTGTCAACACTTGATCGATTTACCCAGTAGCAAGTCTTTGTTCAAAGAGAGACTACTGTACTATTCAGTTGCATCCAAAAGCTTCGCTTACCATTGTTAGTGGTTTAAATAAAATATCCCCAAACACCAATAACTTTAATGTAATTGAATATAAACATTTTCCAGAGATGTATTTTAAATCAAATCAAATTTTATTTGTCACATACACGCGTTTAGCAGATGTTATAGCGGGTGTAGCGAAATGCTTGTGCTTCTAGCTCCGACAGTGCAGTAATATCTAACAAGTTCACAACATATACCCAATACACACAAAACTAGTAAGGAAGGGGATTTAAGAATATATACATATATGGACAAGCAATGACAGAGCGGCATGGACTAAGATCCAATGCCGCTGTGAAAGTAGCATGTTAATAGCATGTTCTCACATCAAAGGTTCCTCATTGATGGCACCAGCAAGTTTCTGTTCCTCATCCTCAACTAATGAACAATAACCTGTGTATTGACTGATGCCCCCTTGCACTTTTCTTAAGTTATTCCCTATTTCTTCTCAAATAAGTTGGAGGGAGAAAAAAAATGTATTCCACACAGTTATAAGATTTTCAACATTGCAGAACCAATTTTATTTTTGTAAACTTTAAGTTTACGATTTCAAAACATCACAAATCAAACCGATTGTAGGGAGGGTGTTATTTTCTTTGAACGCTTCATTTGGTCGTTGGATAAACATAGGAAGACCCCAATGCTGAAGGACACACAAGAAAGCCTGATTGAACTTTTTTTTTTTTAACACCTAAACAAGGCTAAATCCTGGAGGAAATGTTCTGTGGACCAATGACCAATGAAACAAAATTAGAGCTCTTTGGCAACACAGATTAGCGCTGTGATTCCAGATGACCAAATGAAGCATTTAGGGTAATGAAAAGAACACCTTCCCTACAATCAAACATGGGGGTGGTTTGATAATGCTGTGGAGTTGCTTTGCTGCCTTTGGTACTGGGGGGCTTGAAACTGCTCAAGGCATCACAAAATCAGCAGATTATCAGGGGTTTTGGAGTCCAGTATTCAACCCAGTGTCCCAAAAAAATGGGTCTCCATTGAAGGTTGTGGTTCTTCCAGCAGGACAACGACCCCAAACACACATCAAAAAAAGCACCCTGGAATGGTTCAAGAAGAAAAGCTTGGACTGATCTGGAGCGGCCAGTGAAGAGTCCAGATCGGAATGACCTCCAGAACCTATGGCGAGATCTGACAACGGCAGTTGGTGGAGGACACCCCTCAAACATTGGTGAATTAGAGCAGTTTGCCGCTGAAGAGTGGGCCAAATAGTCAGTAGAAATGTGCAGCAAGCTCATGGATGGCTACAAGAAGCATTTGTCAGCAGTTATCTTGGCCAAAGGCTGTGCAACAAAAGTACCAGCTCTGGGGTGACGATCATTTTGTCCACGCCATTAGTCTTTATTTTCTAAATTAAAATTTTACATTTAAGTTGACAAAAATCCAATAACAAAACAAAGTCTGGAGACCAAAAGTGTTTTTCCAATTTCCACTTATTTGAGAAGAAATAGAGAACTCTTTAAGAAAAGTGAAATGGTGACAATATACAACTGTTCATTCAACTAATAAAACAATGGATTGATCAACTGTTGCAGGGTGAATATCAATGTTGTGAGGATATTGAAGTCTAATATTTTTCTGTAAAATGTAAATTATTGTTTCAAGGGCTCAGCAATTGGTAAACCTTGATTTCAGTTTGGCCACCAAAATGTTTTTATAGAACAAGTTACAGTGGTTGAATTACACTGTCTGTCTGTATGGTGAGAGACAGACAGATAGTGGGTTAGGCTGTTAAACAGACAGACAGTGGGTTAGGGTATGAAACAGACAGACAGTGGGTTAGGGTATGAAACAGACAGACAGTGGGTTAGGGTATGAAACAGACAGATAGTGGGTTTTGGTGAGAGACAGACATATAGTGGGTTAGGGTATGAAACAGACAGACGTGGGTTAGGGTATGAAACAGACAGACCGTGGGTTAGGCTGTTAAACAGACAGACAGTGGGTTAGGGTATGAAACAGACAGATAGTGGGTTTTGGTGAGAGACAGACATATAGTGGGTTAGGGTATGAAACAGACAGACAGTGGGTTAGGGTATGAAACAGACAGACAGTGGGTTGGGTATGAAACAGACGACAGTGGGTTAGGTAGAACAGTAGACAGAAGTGGGTTAGGGTATGAACAGACAGACAGTGGGTTGGGTATGAAACAGACAGAAAGTGGGTTAGGGTATGAAACAGACAGACCGTGGGTTAGGGTATGAAACAGACAGACCGTGGGTTAGGCTGTTAAACAGACAGACAGTGGGTTAGGGTATGAAACAGACAGATAGTGGGTTTTGGTGAGAGACAGACATATAGTGGGTTAGGGTATGAAACAGACAGACAGTGGGTTAGGGTATGAAACAGACAGACAGGGGGGTTAGGGTATGAAACAGACAGACAGTGGGTTAGGGTATGAAACAGACAGACAGTGGGTTAGGGTATGAAACAGACAGACAGTGGGTTAGGGTATGAAACAGACAGACAGTGGGTTAGGGTATGAAACAGACAGACAGTGAGTTAGGGTATGAAACAGACAGACAGTGGGTTAGGGTATGAAACAGACAGACAGTGGGTTGGGGTTTATGAAACAGACAGACAGTGGGTTAGGGTATGAAACAGACAGACAGTGGGTTTAGGGTATGAAAACAGACAGACAGTGGGTTAGGGTATGAAACAGACAGACAGTGGGTTAGGGTATGAAAACAGACAGACAGTGGGTTCAGGTATGAAACAGACAGACAGTGGGTTAGGGTATGAAACAGACAGACAGTGGGTTAGGGTATGAAACAGACAGACAGAGGGTTAGGGTATGAAACAGACAGACATAGGGTTAGGGTATGAAACAGACAGACAGTGGGTTATGGTATGATACAGACAGACAGTGGGTTAGGGTATGAAACAGAGAGACAGTGGGTTAGGGTATGAAACAGACAGACAGTGGGTTAGGGTATGAAACAGACAGACAGTGGGTTAGGGTATGAAACAGACAGATAGTGGGTTAGGGTATGAAACAGACATTTAGTGGGTTAGGGTATGAAACAGACAGACAGTGGGTTAGGGTATGAAACAGAGAGACAGTGGGTTAGGGTATGAAACAGACAGACAGTGGGTTAGGGTATGAAACAGAGAGACAGTGGGTTAGGGTATGAAACAGACAGACAGTGGGTTAGGGTATGAAACAGACATACAGTGGGTTAGGGTATGAAACAGACAGACAGTTGGTTAGGGTATGAAACAGACAGACAGTGGGTTAGGGTATGAAACAGAGAGACAGTGGGTTAGGGTATGAAACAGACAGACAGTGGGTTAGGGTATGAAACAGACAGACAGTGGGTTAGGGTATGAAACAGACAGATAGTGGGTTAGGGTATGAAACAGACAGATAGTGGGTTAGGGTATGAAACAGACAGACAGTGGGTTAGGGTATGAAACAGACAGACAGTGGTTTAGGGTATGAAACAGACAGACAGTGGGTTAGGGTATGAAACAGACAGACAGTGGGTTAGGGTATGAAACAGACAGACAGAGGGTTAGGGTATGAAACAGACAGACAGTGGGTTAGGGTATGAAACAGACAGACAGTGGGTTAGGGTATGAAACAGACAGTCAGTGGGTTAGGGTATGAAACAGATAGACAGTGGGTTAGGGTATGAAACAGACAGATAGTGGGTTAGGGTATGAAACAGACAGATAGTGGGTTAGGGTATGAAACAGACAGATAGTGGGTTAGGGTATTAAACAGACAGATAGTGGGTTAGGGTATTAAACAGACGGATAGTGGGTTAGGGTATGAAACAGACAGACAGTGGGTTAGGGTATGAAACAGACAGACAGTGGGTTAGGGTATGAAACAGACAGACAGAGGGTTAGGGTATGAAACAGACAGACAGTGGGTTAGGGTATGAAACAGACAGACAGTGGGTTAGGGTATTAAACAGACAGACAGTGGGTTAGGGTATGAAACAGACAGACAGAGGATGTGTTGGAGTCACATCATCCCCACTGCAGTCAGGTTTCTGTTGCTATGGCAAAGCTGCACTTCTTAGTAGATCAGAGGATCTTCTGTGTCCTGCTGCACCCTCTAATGATCTCTGAAGACCCAATCACACTTAGAAATAAAGATACCCCCTGCCCTGTAAACGTAATGTGTGTAAGTGGTAGAAATATGTTTTTGTGGCAATCATTGTTATTGAAAATGTTGATTTAACAATTTAGTTAGAAGTAGAGATGGTTATCAGTTAAGCCGTTTCACTTCTATTCAGTGGCTGGTCTGATCTTCATGGTAATGGTTTTCAGGGAGTATGTAAAGCCTTTCCATGTTTTCCAGTTGATGCCAATACCGTAGGCAGACTCCCCCCATGCGTATATCCCATTGGGATTAGTCCAATGGCAGTTGTTGTGCCAAAATCCACTGTAGTACATCTGGCCACAGTTGTTGAGGTTAAGGTCCTGGTCTTTATCTAACGTTGTAAATTTCTGACCACTGTGATGAGTCATAGAATCTCCTGAGGATTAAAAACAAAGATTTCTGACCACTGTGATGAGTCATAGAATCTCCTGAGGATAAAAACAAAGATTTCTGACCACTCTGATTGAGTCATAGAATCTCCTGAAGATATGAACAAAGAGCACAGACCAGCAACACAAGGAAAGGGCCCCAGGTGTGACACTCTGGCTCCAGGGACTCTGATTGTTGAGCCAGGGTTGTTATTTTCATTTAGGGTGTATTTCTATGTTGGATCTAGTTGTTCATTTCTATGTTTGGTTTTGTTGTTGATTAGTCATATGACTCCCAATCGGAGGTAACGAGTGTCAGCTGTCGGCTCGTTATCTCTGATTGGGAGCCATATTTAAACTGTGTGGTTTCACCTGGGTTTTGTGGGTTTTTGTTCCATGTTTCTGTCAGTGTTACAGAGGACTTCACTATCGTCATTTGTTGTTTTTCGTGGTTGCTTTATTAAATAAAGTCATCATGTTCACTCCACGCGCTGCGTATTGGTCCGCTTCTTCAGACGATCGTGACAGAAAAACCCACCATAGAAGGACCAAGCAGCGTGTCCAGGAGCAAGACAGCTGGACATGGGAGGAAGCGCCTGGTAAAGAGATCGAGAGGCTGGCGATGGCCCAGGTGGGCAAATCGTGGTCCTGGGAGGACATGCTCGGGGGCAAGGGACCTTGGGGGAAGATCAAGGCCCTGGCGAGAGAGGAGCAACGGCGTCAGCAGGGCCATCATCGTTGGAAGGACGAGAGGCAACCCCAAAAAGTCTTTTGGGGGGGGCACATGGCTTGGACGACGGGGCTAACGGAGGCAGAGAAGGGGCGAATTCAAGAGGCAACCAGGTTACGGGGGTCACTGGCCAAAGTAGGGAAAGGAGATGTAGAGGCACGGCGTGAGAGACTGAGGTGTGTATCCAGTCCGGTCCGGCCCGTTCCAGTTCCCGGGGTAGAGCCAGTGGTGTGTGCCTCCAGTACGGTCCGGCCTGTTACGACCCCTCGCACCAAGGATACGGTGCGCTTCGCCAGCCCAGCCCGGCCTGTTCCGGCCACTCGCACCAGGGATACGGTGCGCTTCGCCAGCCCAGCCCGGCCTGTTCCGGCCACTCGCACCAGGGATACGGTGCGCTTCGCCAGCCCGGCCCGGCCTGTTCCGGCCACTCGCACCAGGGATACGGTGCGCGTCGCCAGCCCTTTCCCACCAGTGCCTACACCACGCCCCAAGCCTCCTGTGTGTCTCCCGAGTCCTGTGCGTCCTGTTGCTGCTCTCCGCACTAGGCTTAATGTGAGTCCCCAGGGTCCAGCATGCCCTGTTCCGGCTCTCCGCACTAGCCCTTATGTGCGTTCCCAGGGTCCAGCATGCCCTGTTGCTTCTCCCCGCACTAGCCCTGAGATGCGTGTCCTCAGCCCGGTACCTCCAGTTCCGGCACCCGCATCAGGCCTACGGTGCGTCCCCAGGGCCAAGCATGCCCTGTTGCTGCTTCCCGCACTAGCCCGGAGATGCGTGTCCTCAGCCCGGTACCTCCAGTTCCGGCACCACGCATCAGGCCTACGGTGCGTCCCCAGGGTCCAGCATGCCCTGTTGCTTCTCCCCGCACTAGCCCTGAGATGCGTGTCCTCAGCCCGGTACCTCCTGTTCCGGCACCACGCACCAGGCCTACGATGCGCCTCAGACGGCCAGAGTCTGCCGTCTGCCCAACGGGGTCTGAACTGTCCGTCTGCCCAACGCCGTCTGAACTGTCCGTCTGCCCAACGGGGCCTGAACTGTCCGTCTGCCCAACGCCGTCTGAACTGTCCGTCTGCCCAACGGCGCCTGAACTGCCCGTCTGCCCAACGCCGTCTGAACTGTCCGTCTGCCAAGCGCCGCAGGAACTGCCCGTCTGTACTGAGCCTGCAAAGCCGCCCGTCTGCCATGAGCCTTCAGAGCCGTCCGCCAGACCGGAGCCGCTAGAGCTCTCCGCCAGACAGGAGCAGCCAGAGCCTTCCGCCAGACAGGATCAGCCAGAGCCTTCCGCCAGACAGGATCAGCCAGAGCCTTCCGCCAGACAGGATCAGCCAGAGCCTTCCGCCAGACAGGATCAGCCAGAGCCTTCCGCCAGACAGGATCAGCCAGAGCCTTCCGCCAGACAGGATCAGCCAGAGCCTTCCGCCAGACAGGATCAGCCAGAGCCTTCCGCCAGACAGGATCAGCCAGAGCCTTCCGCCAGACAGGATCAGCCAGAGCCTTCTGCCAGACAGGATCAGCCAGAGCCTTCCGCCAGCCAGGATCCGCCAGAGCCGTCCAGCCAGGATCCGCCAGAGCCGTCCAGCCAGGATCCGCCAGAGCCAGCCAGCCAGGATCCGCCCCTCAGGCCGGTGCTGCCCCTTAGTCAGGTAATGTCCCTTAGTCCGGTGCTGCCCCTTAGTCCGGTGCCGCCCCTTAATCCAGTGGGGTTTAGTTGGGGGGTGGTCAGGTGGAGGGGGCTACGGAAGCGGATAGTGACTAAGGTGGGGTGGGGACCACGACCTGGGCCAGAGCCGCCACCATGGACAGACGCCCACCCAGACCCTCCCCTAGACTGTGTGCTGGTGCGCCCGGAGTTCGCACCTTTAGGGGGGGGTACTGTGACACTCTGGCTCCGGGGACTCTGATTGTTGAGCCAGGGTTGTTATTTTCATTTAGGGTGTATTTCTATGTTGGATCTAGTTGTTCATTTCTATGTTTGGTTTTGTTGTTGATTAGTCATATGACTCCCAATCGGAGGTAACGAGTGTCAGCTGTCGGCTCGTTATCTCTGATTGGGAGCCATATTTAAACTGTGTGGTTTCACCTGGGTTTTGTGGGTTTTTGTTCCATGTTTCTGTCAGTGTTACAGAGGACTTCACTATCGTCATTTGTTGTTTTTTCGTGGTTGCTTTATTAAATAAAGTCATCATGTTCACTCCACGCGCTGCGTATTGGTCCGCTTCTTCAGACGATCGTGACACCAGGTAACCTAATGATAATACTTCCACTGGCAAATCTTCAGCTATGAACCCTTAATGACAGATTATCTTGGAGTGTTTTTCCTTGGAATTTGTTCTGGTTCTATTTTCTGGTGCTATATTCTTGGACCTTTTTGTTGTAATTTTTTCTTGGACAATTTAAGTTGTCACCCACCTGCTCCTCCATCTTTGAATGAACCCAGCTTTAGCAGGTATCCTTCAGCCTCTGGTCCAACAGAGAAGGAGGAGTACTGAGCATAGACCTTCTTCCCCTCAAAGTCCTCCATGTCCACCCTCAGCTCATAGGTTCCTTTCGTAGTCAGGAGATGCATCGTCTCCAGCCCTGTAGAATAGTACCAGCATAGAAGTACACTGTGTTGTTGGAAATACAATGACAAATGAACTTTACGTGAATCAGGACAAACAGGAAGGAGCTCATTCGCTGAACAGGGGTTCTGAGAGGAGAATGTTCTGGAGGTTTAGACGTTAAATCAGTTTCTTACCCAGCCAGTACTCTCCAGCTGCGCTCCCAAACCCACTCTTGTACTCATCCCACTTCCTGTGGAAGTTCACTGATCCGTCCTGTCTGTTTTGAATCACCTGATTAAGAGAGAGATGTTGTTTTAATTGATTGACTGGTTTTAATGGTAAATCAGTTCTTATGTGTAAAGAAGGAAGAGGAAAAAGAGAGAACGTGCACAGTGTCTGTGTCCTAGTACTGGTTTGGCAGGAACAACTAACCTGTAATTTTACGCTACACTACCGGCTACTGGTTGTAGTGAAAATATGGTAATTATACAATAACAAGTTACTGTATTTTTACAGCTGCATTTTCTGTAATTTTACGCTACACTACCGGCTACTGGTTGTAGTGAAAATATGGTAAATATACAACAACGAGTTATTGTATTTTTACAGCTGCATTTTCTGTAATTTTACGCTACACTACTGGCTACTGGTTGCAGTGAAAATACAGTAAAACAAGTTACTGTATTTTTACAGCTGAATTATGGGGTTATTGCCGTAAAGTGACAGTATGCTGCTGTGTTCTGATTACTTGGGACTCAACCTCACGTGGGTATGAACTCACAACCTCTTGGTTGCCAGTGACCTGAGTTTCCTGCCACGCCACCAGGTCTGTGTTCATGGTAGAGATTGGCCAAGAATACATTTATGCACTTTGCTAAAAGTTGCAGTAAAAATACAGTAAATATACAACAACTTACTGTATTTTTTTAAACATCTGAATTAAGCTAAAATGACAGTATGCTGCTCTATTCTGATTACAGTACACGCTTGTAAATGATGACAACTCAGTAGCCCGTAAGTTATCGTAATTTTACAGGATAAGTATGACAGAAAAATCTTGTAAAATCCTTCGCTATGAACACACTTGGGACTCAACCACACCTGGAATTTGGAATTGAAACCTCTTGGTTGCCAGGTACCTGAATTTCCTGCTATGCCACCTGATGGGTATACTACGATTGAAGCTAGATCTACTCAGGGTTTTCTAAAGCTAGCCAGCTTCAGTTAGCTTCACATTTCAGCTCAGGCTTCATCTGTACTAAGACGATAGATATTGCTCGTCCACCTGCAGCTAACTCTAGCAGTTTTGTAACTGCGCGTGCATGTCGCACGTGGCTAAGTTGAACACTGAACTCTTCATTGAGACAATGCTGAAACATCAATCCGTGGGAGAGTCAGTGCTGCTAGTCGAACACCGCACTCTTCATTGAGACAATGCTGAAACATCAATCCGTGGGAGAGTCAGTGCTGCTAGTCGAACACCGCACTCTTCATTGAGACAATGCTGAAACATCAATCCGTGGGAGAGTCAGTGCTGCTAGTCGAACACCGCACTCTTCATTGAGACAATGCTGAAACATCAATCCGTGGGAGAGTCAGTGCTGCTAGTCGAACACCGCACTCTTCATTGAGACAATGCTGAAACATCAATCCGTGGGAGAGTCAGTGCTGCTAGTCGAACACCGCACTCTTCATTGAGACAATGCTGAAACATCAATCCGTGGGAGAGTCAGTGCTGCTAGTCGAACACCGCACTCTTCATTGAGACAATGCTGAAACATCAATCCGTGGGAGAGTCAGTGCTGCTAGTCGAACACCGCACTCTTCATTGAGACAATGCTGAAACATCAATCCGTGGGAGAGTCAGTGCTGCTAGTCGAACACCGCACTCTTCATTGAGACAATGCTGAAACATCAATCCGTGGGAGAGTCAGTGCTGCTAGTCGAACACCGCACTCTTCATTGAGACAATGCTGAAACATCAATCCGTGGGAGAGTCAGTGCTGCTAGTCGAACACCGGACTCTTCATTGAGACAATGCTGAAACATCAATCCGTGGGAGAGTCAGTGCTGCTAGTCGAACACTGCACTCTTCATTGAGACAATGCTGAAACATCAATCCGTGGGAGAGTCAGTGCTGCTAGTCGAACACCGCACTCTTCATTGAGACAATGCTGAAACATCAATCCGTGGGAGAGTCAGTGCTGCTAGTCGAACACCGCACTCTTCATTGAGACAATGCTGAAACATCAATCCGTGGGAGAGTCAGTGCTGCTCGTCGAACACCGCACTCTTCATTGAGACAATGCTGAAACATCAATCCGTGGGAGAGTCAGTGCTGCTAGTCGAACACCGCACTCTTCATTGAGACAATGCTGAAACATCAATCCGTGGGAGAGTCAGTGCTGCTAGTCGAACACTGCACTCTTCATTGAGACAATGCTGAAACATCAATCCGTGGGAGAGTCAGTGCTGCTAGTCGAACACCGCACTCTTCATTGAGACAATGCTGAAACATCAATCCGTGGGAGAGTCAGTGCTGCTAGTCGAACACCGCACTCTTCATTGAGACAATGCTGAAACATCAATCCGTGGGAGAGTCAGTGCTGCTCGTCGAACACCGCACTCTTCATTGAGACAATGCTGAAACATCAATCCGTGGGAGAGTCAGTGCTGCTAGTCGAACACCGCACTCTTCATTGAGACAATGCTGAAACATCAATCCGTGGGCGACACATTTTCATTTGTGCTGAAATCAAAATGAATGAAACGTTATATCTTGCTTATCAGCTTATTCATCAGGCTATTATTATTATTATTATTCAGTAGGCGCCATCTTTATTTTAGTACTTTATTACTTATTGTTAATGCCGTCGTTGGTGTTCTTTAGTAGCTTATCAATACACCACACAATCAAATCATTCTATTAAGTCATACACACTTTTTTTTTTACTGTGCTTGAAGTTTCAAATGCATTCTGTCATTACTAAATGGGTAATGTGATAGGTATTTTAAGATTACTATAGAAAATATTGAATCAGTCATCTTCCTCAAATGAAGGGGATGATGACGCAATCTTTGCGAGAGGGAGGGAATCTGATTTCATTGGTTCTCTACTTGTGGCTCCGACACTTAATTCAGGATAAATGGAGTTAGCCCCTGAGTTAGCCCTGAGTTAGCCCTGAGTTAGCCCTGAGTTAGCCCTGAGTTAGGCCTGAGTTAGGCCTGAGTTAGCCCTGAGTTAGCCCTGAGTTAGCCCTGAGTTAGCCCTGAGTTAGCCCTGAGTTAGCCCTGAGTTAGGCCTGAGTTAGGCCTGAGTTAGGCCTGAGTTAGGCCTGAGTTAGGCCTGAGTTAGGCCTGAGTTAGGCCTGAGTTAGCCCTGAGTTAGCCCTGAGTTAGCCCTGAGTTAGCCCTGAGTTAGCCCTGAGTTAGCCCTGAGTTAGGCCCTGAGTTAGCCCTGAGTTAGCCCCGAGTTAGCCCCGAGTTAGCCCCGAGTTAGGCCCGAGTTAGGCCCGAGTTAGGCCCGACTTAGCCCTGAGTTAGCCCTGAGTTAGGCCTGAGTTAGCCCTGAGTTAGGCCTGAGTTAGGCCTGAGTTAGGCCTGAGTTAGGCCTGAGTTAGCCCTGAGTTAGCCCTGAGTTAGCCCTGAGTTAGGCCTGAGTTAGCCCTGAGTTAGCCCTGAGTTAGGCCTGAGTTAGGCCTGAGTTAGGCCTGAGTTAGGCCTGAGTTAGCCCTGAGTTAGCCCTGAGTTAGCCCTGAGTTAGCCCTGAGTTAGCCCTGAGTTAGCCCTGAGTTAGCCCTGAGTTAGGCCTGAGTTAGCCCTGAGTTAGCCCTGAGTTAGCCCTGAGTTAGGCCTGAGTTAGCCCTGAGTTAGCCCTGAGTTAGCCCTGAGTTAGCCCTGAGTTAGGCCTGAGTTAGGCCTGAGTTAGCCCTGAGTTAGGCCTGAGTTAGGCCTGAGTTAGGCCTGAGTTAGCCCTGAGTTAGCCCTGAGTTAGCCCTGAGTTAGGCCTGAGTTAGGCCTGAGTTAGGCCTGAGTTAGCCCTGAGTTAGCCCTGAGTTAGCCCTGAGTTAGCCCTGAGTTAGCCCTGAGTTAGCCCTGAGTTAGGCCTGAGTTAGCCCTGAGTTAGCCCTGAGTTAGCCCTGAGTTAGCCCTGAGTTAGCCCTGAGTTAGCCCTGAGTTAGGCCTGAGTTAGGCCTGAGTTAGGCCTGAGTTAGCCCTGAGTTAGCCCTGAGTTAGCCCTGAGTTAGGCCTGAGTTAGGCCTGAGTTAGGCCTGAGTTAGGCCTGAGTTAGGCCTGAGTTAGCCCTGAGTTAGCCCTGAGTTAGCCCTGAGTTAGGCAGCCCAGGACCAGGTAAGTTCTGAAGGATTAGTTGCCATAGAAATGAAATTTGCTAAAAGGTGAGGCACTTTCGTGGAGCACACTAAAACATATGGGTTCTTCAAGGGTTCTTTGGGAAGGGTGATGGTTCTATGTGGAACCATACTGACCCAAAGAACCATTTGAGCCCTTCAATGGTTCTTTGCAGTTCAAATAAGGATTCTTTCCTCTTTTAGTGATAATGAAAATGTGGGGTGGGTGTTAATTAAAATATTTTGGGGCGTGGTGTTTTTGTGCCAACGTGAGTAAGAGTGTCCTTCCAGTTTATCTAATCTGTTGTGCTATGCTACTACAAGTAATACATTGAGCTCCAGAAGTATAGGGACAGTGACCCATTTTGTTGTTGTTTTGGCTCTGTACTCCAGCTCTTTGGATTTGAAATGATACAATGACTGTGAGGTTAAAGGCTTTAATTTGAGGGTATTTATATCCATATCGGGTGAATTATTTAGAAATTACAGCACTTTTTGGGCATAGTCCCCCCCATTTTAGAGGACCAAAAGTATTGGGACAAATTCACTTATACGTGTATTAAAGTAGTCAAAAGTTTAGCATTGAAAGTAACAGGGGGGGGGGGGGGGGTGATATTTGTGCGTCTGTTACTTTCTCACTCATCATTATTCACGATTCATTCAGGATTATCCATAATCATGGTAGCATCCACATTAATGTAGAAGTGTTTAGAAACACATTCTATTCTTAACCCTCCCGTTGTCCTAGGGTCAAAATGACCCGCCACTGTGTTAAACCAACTTTATTTAATTTTTATATTTTTTGGATCATTTGTGAGAAGGAGGCAGTGATACTTTCTTTAAAGTCTCACTGCCTCCTTCTCACAAATGATCCCCAAAATATAAAAATTAAATAAAGTTGGTTTAACACAGTGGCGGGCCATTTTGACCCTAGGACAACGGGATGGTTAAGTGACTCCAAAATGACATAATACATTATTTGCCATTCATTTCTATTGGACACAAAATAATCTGAAACACAACCAAAACAAACAGCAAACGCATCCAACAACTTTGTAGAATCACAAGCTTGATGTAGTCATTGCGTGCTATGAATATGGGATCAAATACTGAACTTTTGACTACTTTAATACGCATATCAGTGAATTTGTCCCAATACTTTTGGTCCCCTGAAATGGGGGTACTATGTACAAAAAGTGCTGTCATTTTTTTTTAAACGGTTCATCATCATTTCAAATCCAAAGAGCTGGAGTACAGAGCCAAAACAACAACAAAGGGCTCACTGTCCCAATACTTTTGGTGCTCACAGTGTGTGACTATGGCCGGTGACAGTGTCTTGTGAAAGACTCACGCATGGCCTTGTCTCAATTGAAAACAGTTGACTAAGTCAGTAGTTCTGAATTCTCTCCTCAGGGACTCTCCATCTATTCCAGAACTAGTCAGTAGTTCTGAATTCTCTCCTCAGGGACTCTCCATCTGTTCCAGAACTAGCACACCTGATTCAGATAGTCAACTATCAACACAATAATAACACCTCTGGGAATTTTAACAATATAATATGTCTATTAAACCAGAATAAAAACCCTGTATGGTTCTACAAAGAACCTTTGAGATTGAGAAAGGTTCTTCATAGAACCATTCGCCATAAAGGTTCCATAAAGAACCATTAAAAAAGGGTTCTGTAAAGCCCCAAAAAGGTTGTAATCATAGCGGAACCTTTTTTTTTTTGGTGCTATATAGAACATTTTATTAGTGGTTCTTTATAGAACCTTAGGAAAGGGTTCTTTATAGCACCATACAGGTTCCATTTAGAACCTTATGACCATGGTTATTTATAGAACTTTCAAAAAAGGGTTCTATATAGCACCAAAAAGGGTTCTGTTATGGTTACAAGCCAAATTACCCTTATTTGGCACTATTTAGAACCATTTGTTTTTAGTGTTTACCGGTTATCCTGAGTTGAACCTCCGAGTTGACCAAAGTTACATCGCTAACTCCTCAAATCACATACAGTACGTAGTATAGGGCTCAGGTTTGTGGGCATAGCAGAGCTGGCCACAGATTTATTGGCAATAATACATTTCTGCACTTCACTAAGTTTCCCAGAATCAAGTATAATAATTGTCAGAATATCTGACAGCACCAACTCAAAAATTGCATGTCTCAGGGACACTTAACAGAAAGTGTGGATATATGCTCTGGGATTTGAACTTGCAACCTCTTTGTCGGGAGTGCGTTGATGTTTCAGCAGTGCCACCAGGTACCAAGAACATATATCAACACACTCTCAAAAAATAGGGTACGGTTTGAAATGTAGATGGGGGCAATGTACTGGCGGGGCACTCCTTGAGCACTGCTGTTTAGCTAAGTGCAGAAATGTATTATTGACATTAAATCTGTGGCCAACCTCTGTCAAGCCCACAGATCTACCCTGCATAGTAAGAAATGCAGATTTACTGGCAAGGTTATGAGTTCAAATCCCAGGTGAGGTTGAGTCCCAAGTGTGCCCACAATAAATAATTGTATCAAATGTTACTGTAATACTAATAATTGTAATAATAATAATTGTATCAAATGTTACTGTAATACTTATAAAATTACAATAATTTACAGACTACTGAGTTGTTGTAAAGTTATAGTAACATTATTTATACTGAAAAAATAAATAAACGCAACAATTTCAAAGATTCTACTTAGTTATAGTTCATACAAGGAAATCAGTCAATTGAAATAAATTCATTAGGCCCTAATCTATGGATTTCACATGACTGGGAATACAGATATGCATCTTTTGCTCACAGATACCTTTAAAAAAAAATGGGCCTCACAATGGGCTTCAGTATCTCGTCACGGTATCTCTATGCATTCAAATAGCCTTTGATAAAATGCAATTGTGTTCATTGTCCATAGCTTATGCTTGCCCATACCATAACCCCATCGCCACCATGGGGCACTCTGTTCACAACGTTGACATCAGCAAACCCCTCTCCCACACGATGCCATACACGTGTTTGTGAGGCCGGTTGGACGTACTGCCAAATTCTCTAAAATGACATTGGAGGCGGCTTATGGTAGAGAAATGAACATTACATTCTCTGGCAACAGCTCTGGTGGACATTCCTGCAGTCAACATGTCAGTTGCGCGCTCCCTCAAAGCTTGAGGCATTGTGTTGTGTGACAAAACTGCACATTTTAGAGCGGCCTTTTAATTGTCCCCAGAACAAGGTGCACCCGTGTAATGATCATGCTGTTTAATAAGCTTCTTGACATGCCAAACCTGTCAAGTGGATGGATTATTTTGGCAAAGGAGAAATGCTCACTAACAGGGATCTTTTATTTCAGCTCATGAAACATGGAACCAACACCGTACATGTTGTGTTTATATTTTTGTTCAGTGTACAAGAGTGTACTGTAATCCGAAAACAGCAGCACACTGTCATTTTACAGCAATAACATCTTCAATTTAGTTGTAAAAATACAGTTAGTTGTTGTATATTTACTGAACAAAATACAGTTTTGCTGTAAAAACATATTACTGTATTTTCACTGCAACTCAATAGCCTGTAACTTACTGTAAAATGACTAGTAATTCTTTAACAGTTTGTGTCATAAATGTAAATGTAATTTAAATTTACAGGACGGGTCAAAAAGTACCCAAGTGCAATGTGATTGACAGCAAATACAGTGATACAGTGTTGTGTTACTGTAAATGTACTGTAAAATGTACAGCTATTGCTAACAGTGTAAAAAAAAAAAAAGCAAATACCTATGTGTATTTAAAGATTGGTAGAAACATTGGATACTGACCGTCCACTTTCCTAGATGTGCACTGTCCATCGACATGTCACAGAACACCTGGACAGGTGAGGTGGGTCCTGCAGGATAAATGGTGTGAACCCCATTCAGTCCAAAACCTGATCGGTACACCTCATTACAGTCCACTGGATGCAGGGAGGACTGCACCACCACGGGGAACAGCAGAGCCAGCAGCAAGCTGAACTACACCACAGAGTAGATGGACAGAGCAGGTTGTAATGGAAGTACTGTCTAGTGTTGGTTCATTAAAGATACATGTCCCATATTCACATTTTGAGTATCTATGAATTTCTGCTTATTCTAATAATGGTTTATTAATACCTACCATCGTTGTTGAGATAGATGTCCGTTTGCCTTTGAAGGAAACTTTTGTACAGTTTACTGAAAAAGTAGACAGAAAAATAGTACGTTGAACGGATGTGAAGCATATTTACAACAGTATTCTTCAGGTCAGAAGCTGCTAATGGTTAAATAGTTAAGGCAGAGGCTGTGCCACCGGATCGAAGCACCCGCTCCGCCCCCCAGGATGCCTTTTCCCCTGACCTAAACAAACGCATCACGTTCTTCACGTACAAATCAGTCTACCGGAGCGGTACCCTATGTCGAATGTTCTGGTATATAATGTATTTTAAGACATAAATTGAGTAAATCTTTGTTGGTTTTATGCTGTCTGGTTTTAAAACTCCCCACTCGATTAATGTAACATACTGTATGTTGTAGTTAGAGACTGTCTGAAAAGCAGTAAAATAAATGACATACTGCCTGTCTGTCCTGCTGCTACTCAGACTGCCCTGCTGCTACTCAGTGGGTGCAGAACACATTTATCTCTCCTCAATAGTGCAGAACACATGTATCTCTCCTCAATAGTGCAGAACACATTTATCTCTCCTCAACAGTGCAGTACACATTAATCTCTCCTCAACAGTGCAGAACACATTTATCTCTCCTCAATAGTGCAGAACACATTTATCTCTCCTCAATAGTGCAGAACACATTTATCTCTCCTCTATAGTGCAGAACACATTAATCTCTCCTCAATAGTGCAGAACACATTTATCTCTCCTCAATAGTGCAGTACACATTAATCTCTCCTCAATAGTGCAGAACACATTTATCTCTCCTCAATAGTGCAGAACACATGTATCTCTCCTCAATAGTGCAGAACACATTTATCTCTCCTCAACAGTGCAGTACACATTAATCTCTCCTCAATAGTGCAGGACACATTTCTCTCCTCAATAGTGCAGAACACATTTATCTCTCCTCAACAGTGCAGAACACATTAATCTCTCCTCAACAGTGCTATATAGTAAGAATATCCAGTATAGATGACTTGATGTATTCATGAAGGATAACAAATAAAGATAGGTATCTAGTAAAGAAAAGAAAGATAGGTATTTAGTAAAGAAGTGAGTGCATGAGCTCACCTGTATGAGTGACTGAGAGCAGATGTCTGCCCCACAAAGATGCATGTGTCTTTTATAAAGACAACCAGAGCTCATTGCAACACTCAATGCAACACTCTGGTCCACACCTCTTTTATAAAAATAACCAAACATTCCTGGAATCACTCTTGTCTGTAAACATCCCACTGGGCACAGATGTCAGTTCAAAGTCTAGTTTTGATTTACATTTGGTTGAGTTGTCAACTAAGGTGAATTCAATATGAAATCAACCAAACATTTCACCCTGTCATTGGATTTAGGTTAAAAGTTGGGTGAAAAAATGACCAAAATCCCTTATGTTGATTACTTTTTGCAAATAAAATCAGTTTTCCACGTTGATTCAATGTCATAACATATCATTTATTTGCAGAAATGACGTGGAAACAACATTGATTCAACCAGTTTTTGCCCAGTGGGATGGCACGTGGGTAGTTTGAAGCACATAATAATATCATAAAACAATTAGAGTTCAGTATGTTTATTCTCATTTGGACAATCTGACCAGATAGTGATAGAGCACGCTCTTTGCCCTTTCACTGGGTTCAGTTACATGCACTTATTGTGACTATGTAGCCGGCGCGCTCTGCTCCTTGCCGACTACTGCGTTGTGTTCCAGTGCACTGAAGACAACACACTGGCGTACTTGAAGGCACTTTATTGTGTACAACTCTCTCAATCTGTTCAACATCAAGGAGAGAAAATGTTCAAAACTCTACCCTCGACCAGAATCTGCCTCTCCCAGCCGAGTACAATGCAGACTGAATATAATCACATTCAAAAATCCAAGGAATAAAATACAACATAATTGGAAAATAAACATCGCATCTGGTGTATATCTTATGTATGTGTCATATTGCATGTTATCTCTGCCAAAAACTCTGAGCTTTTAGCCTTTACATTAATACTGTGCAACATGACATAAACCATCTTTCAAATAGGTAATACATACAGTAATATGCACGAAGAAACATGTAATCCTTCACATTTGAGCTTTTCAGTGCCATTAAACACTAATCAATACATGAAAACATTTTAAATGAACGCATATTTTTTACCTGATATAGGGAATACATACCTGTTCAACATCAAGGAGAGAAAATGTTCAAAACTCTACCCTCGACCAGAATCCGCCTAACATAAAAAAACAACTGAAACGTGGGCTTCAACACAAGAGGATAGAATGACGATTGCTAACTTACAGCTAAACAAAACACGAGGTTAGCTAAGTTAGCAATTTCTCAAACTCTCAAAAATAGCTAAATTCACGACACAGCTTGATTAAATGTACGTACACTCATCATATAATATACATACAAGTTACTATGTGCACTGAAACGTTTTAGTTTTAACAGGTATATCAAGTTTATGTCACGCCGAAGTGAACACATACCTCTCTCAGTCGAGTAGAATGCAGACTGAGAAAAGCATGAGACAAATCCGCATATAACCAAACCAACACTCTAGAGGGCGCACTTACACAACTAACTCTCCCAATATCTGTAGACTACACGATATGCTGAACAATACAATATTTTGGTGAAATCAACTCACAAAATAAAATAAAAAATAGAAAATGAACGGTTGCAAAAATCTGTAATTCTTTGACCTGTTACAACTACTCAGATTAATATAATCGTTCTTCTTTGCAAGAAGAACGATTTCCCTAATAGTCCCGTTTACGTGGACACGTCTGAAATCAGGCTACCTGATGCGACTTTGATAAATGCAGAAAGTCTACAATGAAAATATGTGCTAGCGCCAGAAGATAGCTTTAAGACATGAAGGTCAATCAATACAGAACATTTCAAGAACTTTTAAAGTTTCTTCAAGTGCAGTCGCAAAAACCATCAAGCACTATGATGAAACTGGCTCTCATGAGGACCGCCACAGGAATGGAAGACCCAGAGTTACAGTTGAAGTCGGAAGTTTATTAAAACTCGTTTTTCAACCACTGATGGGACTCCTGTATGTTGAGTCAGGGTGTGGATATCTATGTTAGTATTTCTATGTTTACATTCTAGGTTGTATTTCTATGTTTGGCCGGGTGTGATTCCCAATCAGAGGCAGCTGTTGCTCGTTGTCTCTGATTGGGGATCATCCTTAGGCAGCCTATTGGCGATCATCCTTAGGCAGCCTATTGGCACTCATTAGTGGGGGGATCTAGTTAGTGGGGGGGATCTAGTTAGTGGGGGGGATCTAGTTAGTGGGGGGATCTTTGTTTTGTGTAGAGGCTTGTGTTGTGTTCAGCCTGAGGACTTCACGTTACGTTGTTTTGTTGTTTTGTTCGTGTGTTTATTTTGTTAAATAAACATGTATGCATTTCACGCTGCGCCTTGGTCTGACCCGTCCTTCAACGAACGCGACAGTGACATAAGTCATTTTTCCAACAATTGTTTACAGACAGATTATTTCACTTATAATTCACTGTGTCACAATTCCAGTGGGTCAGAAGTTTACATACACTAAGTTGACTGTGCCTTTAAACAGCTTGGAAAATTCCAGAAAATGATGTCATGGCTTTAGAAGCTTCTGATAGGCTAATTGACATCATTTGAGTCAATTGGATGTGTACCTGTGGATGTATTTCAAGGACTACCTTCAAACTCAGTGCCTCTTTGCTTGACATCATGGAAAAATCAAAAGAAATCAGCTGACCTCAGAAAAAAAATTGTAGACCTCCACAAGTCTGGTTCATCTTGGGAGCAATTTCCAAACGCCTGAAGGTAACACGTTCATCTGTACAAACAATAGTACGCAAGTATAAACACCATGGGACCACGCAGCCGTCATACCGCTCAGTAGGAGATGAATGTACTTTGGTGCGAAAAGTGCAAATCCATCCCAGAACAACAGCAAAGGACATTGTGAAGATGCTGGAGGAAACAGGTACAAAAGTATCTATATCCACAGTAAAACAAGTCCTATATCGACATAACCTGAAAGGCCGCTCAGCAAGGAAGAAGCCACTGCTCCAAAACCGCCATCAAAAAGCCAGACTACGGTTTGCTACTGCACATGGGGACAAAGATCATACTTTTTGGAGAAATGTCCTCTGGTCTGATTAAACAAAAATAGAACTGTTTGGCCATAATGACAATCGTTATGTTTGGAGGAAAAGGGGAAGGCTTGCATGCCGAAGAACACCATCCCAACCATGAAGCACAGGGGTGGCAGCATCATGCTGTGGGGGTGCTTTGCTGCAGGAGGGACTGGTGCACTTCACAAAATAGATGGCGTCATGAGGAAGGAAAATTATGTGGATATATTGAAGCAACATCTCAAGACATCAGTCAGGAAGTTAAAACTTGGTCGTAAATGGGTCTCCCAAATGGACAATGACCCCAAGCATACTTCCAAAGTTGTGGCAAAATGGCTTAAGGACAACAAAGTCAAGGTATTGGAGTGGCCATCACAAAGCCCTGACCTCAATCCTATAGAAAATATGTGGGCAGAACTGAAAAAGCGTCTGCGAGCAAGGAGGTCTACAAACCTGACTCAGTTACACCAGCTCTGTCAGGAGGAATGGGCCAAAATTCACCCAACCTATTGTGGGAAGCTTGTGGAAGGCTACCTGAAATGTTTGACCCAAGTTAAACAATTTAAAGGCAATGCTACCAAATACTAATTGAGTGTATATAAACTTCTGACCCACTGGGAATGTGATGAAATAAAACAAATCTGAAATAAATCATTCTCTCTACTATTATTCTGACATTTCACATTCTTAAAATAAATTGGTGATCCTAACTGACCTAAAACAGTGAATTTTTACTAGGATTAAATGTCAGAAATTGTGAAAAACTGAGTTTAAATGTATTTGGCTAAGGTGTATGTAAACTTCCGACTTCAAATGTACCTCTGCTGCAGAGGATAAGTTCATTAGCGTTACCAGCCTCAGAACTTGCAGCCCAAATAAATGCTTCACAGAGTTCAAGTAACAGACACATCTCAAC